CCCCCCCGCCGGCGGTAACCACTATTCAGATTACTAGCAGCATAGTTTAGTTTTACCTGGTTTTGAACTTGGAATCATACCATTAAAAAAAAAAAGAAGAATACAATTATAATAGTAATAAAATATTTTTAAAACATTTAAGGAAGAAATCTAACAGCAGGTGTTACAAGCTCTTTGTAGAGAAAATTATCAAACCTTATCGAAAGGTATTGACAAAGATCTAGTCAAATGGGGAGTTCAGAAACAGACCTACGCATACGGAAATAAGCCTGATGATGAGTAGAACTGAAGTGGGGAAAGGATTAGCTGGTCAGTAAATGTCTATATGGGAGGAAATGGAATTCGATCCCTACCTCGCACCATACACAAACATCCGTTCCAGGTATATTGCCTTTCACTGTAATGTGAAAGGCAAAACTGATATTTTTAGAAGGCAATGTAGGCAATTCTATATGACTTTGGGGTAAGGAAGAGTCTCTCAGAAACAAAAAGCAAAAACCATAAAGGAAGAACATTGATACATTTTCTTACATTAAAATTAAGAATTTCTTTTTCTCAACTCTCATCATAAAGAGAATAAAATGACAAACCACAGAGTGGAGGGAAAGATATGTAACGAAAATAACGACAAATAGCATTCAGATTATAGAAAGAGCTCCTATGAATCAATAAGGAAAAAGATGAACAACCCAATAGAAACATTCACCCCGAGGCTGGGTCTGGGTAGAGCAGGGAAAAAGCAGGTTTGTCATAATTGAGCAGCCCAAGCCGACATAAGAGAATAGAAAGGAGGACCGTGCTAAAGACAATTGAAAGGAATCTCATGACCACCCTTCTCACCCTTGGCCCCCATTGTAGTCGATCTGGAGACAGGGTGAACCTCAGCCTGCCTGTATTTGCCTTAGCTCACCCCACCGTGTGTGTCCTGGAGGTGTTTTCTTCCAAGGACTGGAATAGAGTGAGCCCCATCCCTGACCTGTTCCTGGTCGTCTGCCTCTTTAAGGTCCTCTCATCCAGGGTGCTTTGACCCAATGGAATCAGCTCTCTAGAGCCGCTCCTCACCTACAGTTCCTCGAAACCCCTTAAGAATGTCTTGGCAATCCAGAACTGAAATCTCCCCAGCCTAAGTGGCTAGATCCTCCTGGCATGCAAGAAACAGCGAGGGGAGAGAAGTAGGAAGGAGTGGGTGAGAACATAGTCTGTGCTGCAGGCAGCCTGCCTCGCTGAACGTCCACGCTCCACACCTGACCATTACGAACCTCGGGCAGTTTCTTAACCTCTCTGCCTCGTTTTCTCATCTGTAAAGTGGGGATAAGAGTAGTAAGCCTACTTGATAGAGCGGTTGTGAGAGTGACATGAATTATAACACGTAAAGTACTAAGAGCAGTGCCTAGCAAATAGGAAATACTATATAACCGTTAGCTATTAGTATTGTTGTCGTCATCACCATCCTCATTGCTCTGCAGTTAATCTCATTATGTTTTATTATGTCAAAAAATAAGGAACAAACACTTAACAATTGATAGACTCTCTCTTTTTCCTTTTTAAGAATTTTTATAACTTTTCAGCCTGGGTATTTCCCGAGCGGCCGCCATTGGAAGCAGCGGCTGTGTTGGAGGTCATTCACGTCAACAGAAAGAAGAAAGTGTGGGATTATAATTATGATGATGATGAAAGTGACAGCGATAATGAAGCAGCCCCCCGAACAAGCGCGGGGGGTTACACCATGCACGGACTAACTGGCAGGCCTCTGTGTCCGGCCTCTGCCTCCTCAGCCACCTTGGAGGACTGCAGCAACCTAGACGCTGAGGAAACCGACGTGCCCGAGGCCGAGGCTGAATCGGAGTCTCTGATGGCACCAGGGCCTGGCCCCTGGCAGCCGGAATGCACTAGTGAGGCCTACAAGGGGAGAGGGACTCTGCTGGAAGAGCCCTTTTCTGAGGAGGACAGCAGCTCCATGGAGGGTTCTGAAGACAGAATTATCTTCAATGTGGATTTAAACTCTGTGTGTGTGAGGGTCTTCAGTGACGACTTAGAAGCCCCTCCAGTGTTATCTCTTCCAGAAGATAACACCCAATTACAGGATCCCAACGAAATGGAAACAAACCTTTTGGTGGCCAGTGGAGGAGGGACACAGCCGTCCTTCCCTGGCCCCTCTGTGGAGTGCCTGTGGCCTGAAGATTCCCTTTCCGAAAAAAGTGACACTTCTGAGTCAGATGTTAACATCGGGGATGGTTATATAATGAGATGAATCCCAAAATACTGAATTAACTTGGACCGACAGATACTTCCAGGGTTCTCTCTGCTGCACCCTCACTTGCTCCTGTGGTCTGCAAGTGTTCTCTGGGGGAAGGAGTTGCAGTGGCCCCGCTCTTCCTGGTGACATCATCTATGCAAATTCCCAATATGGGGGAGAGGGGAGGTGGGACACCTGGTATCACAGGGTCATTCCATGCATTGTTTACATGTTCCAAGTGATAGCTTTGAAGGGAAGACGCCCCGCCCCTATACACATGTATTTATAATGTTTCTGCTTCACGGTTCCCAGAGGAAGGAACAAGGTTCCCTGTGGTTTTCACGGGGCGGTCCGGGGCCCTGGGAAATAATTTGGGCCAGGGTGGGAATGGGAAGAGAAAAGGAAGACGCTCAGCAGGGTTCATAACAGGAGCAGTCTGCCGTGTTTTCCACTGGCTCAAGGAAGGCAAGGGCAGGAAAACAGGCAGAAAAAGAGGCGGGAGGGCGGACCACAGAAGGCAGAGGAGGGGGACTCACAAAAAATATAAGCACATGTTCCAGTTGGAAGTAGGAAAGGTCCAGCCAAGTCTTGAGCACCTCCCAGGTGACATACTCTGTCGCCTACACTCTGAGAATTTGACTTAGTCCCTCATCCAGCCCCTGTGAGGAAGACAGACTCACACACATAAATAACTCTAGTGTCAGACAGGTGCCTAATAGACAAAACCTTTGCAAGAGGGAGAGGGATAGAACCTCAGTGCCATATTTTAAGATTTTTTTAAAAAGACAACAAATGCGAAGATACGTCCAGGTCTTCAGAAGAAACAAGGCATTAAGTTCCAAGAGGTCATCTTTCATAAGAAGTGCTATGTGTGCTGATGACAAATGACCTACGTATGATTACAGTTACTGTGAATGGGTGGGGGCGGGAGGGAGAATTCTAGAATGTCAGGTAGCAAACAGTGCAAGGACTGGGACTCAGAAGAATGCCTGCCACCATTTCACTGTGTGACCGTGAGCACTCTGCTTGGCTTCTCTGAGCCTCATTCTCTTCACTTGTGAAATAAGGAGATTGGACTAGGTAATCGGCAAGATCCAGTGATGGTAGGAGAAATATTGGAAAATACACAGGAATAAAGACTGGTGGAGGTGCTGCCCCCTATCCCCCCCACACACACACACAGTGAAGGGAAGGTAATACAGCCCTCCTTACCCCCCCTCATTCCAGACCTTCCTTCTGGATTCACTCAAAAGGGGGAAAACAAAATGTATGAGTCTTAGCCCAAGGATTTTGAATAGATACTTTTTTTTTTTTTCCTTATCTGAGCCATCCTGCTACCTGTTGGCAGCTCAGCTCCGGCCGGGACTCAAACTGTTGTTGCTCAGAGCTTGCACTCCTGAGTGACCTCTTAACCAACTGAGCCACTGGGCTGGCCCTTAAATAGATTATTTTTATAATTGCCCTAAAGTAACTCAAAGGAGAGGGCTGTGAGAGGGGAAGTGTTATTTAATGAAATGCCATAGGCAAAGGCCTTGATCATAGACATAGGCCATTTCTTTGCCCTCTGAATGCATCTACCATATTTTGAAAAGTTACCACTGATCTTTTGGGATAACCTTTTATGACAGCGTGTGTGTGTCTGTGTGTGTGCGTGTGTGTGCGTATTAAGTTTTGTATACTGGTTGGAGATTGATAAAGGGTAATAAAGACATACTTTTTAATACAAACCTGGTAGTGTCTTCAGCGTTATTTCTCATCGGAGTACACACACAGCAGATTTCTGGCTCTGCTGGCATCTCTATGGTTGCACAAAAGTCCCTTTATCTCTGTGTGGTGGCCACGGGAACCTGCACCGCTGTGCTCACGTGCACGTGGAGTGTTCTAGCGTCAGACGTCAGGTGGTCCCAGAACTTACCCTGCTCTGGGGTTTCCAACCTTACCACGGCTCAAATTTAAAAAGAGGAAATTAAACCTCTCTGGGCAGTCTTGTGAGAGAAACGAGTAATTGCCAAATAAACGACTTAGTTTCGTATTGTTTATCCCTGGGGAAGTGGTACAGAAGACCCTCTCAAACTGGGTGGAGTGCTTTAAAATTAGCTTATTTGCGGGGAGAGGGGGTTTGGGAGGCCGTGCTGATTCGCTGGAGAAAACTTGGGGAACACAGTACTGACTGGTGTAGAGAAAAACTACCACCACCCATAATTCCACCATCCAGATAGGACCCCTGGGATGGCGCTGTAGCGGATTTCACTTGAGGGAACCTTTCAAAGCATGCATTTAATGTGTG